GTTCCAACATTCATCCAGCATTTTGTGGCTGCTCAGCATGCTCAGTCTTTGCTGGGATTCAGACCTTAACATGCCCCTACCCCACAAATCCCCTTGGATTCCTCCAAGCCTGCAAATACCTTTCTTGTCTCTGTGGATGCTACCATTTTGGCTCAGGATCCGCACGTGTAGAATGATATATGATAAGTTGCTGTTGTTCTTCATAAATAATAATGATGCTGATGATGCAGTATTTTTGCTTTACAGAGCAGCATCAAAAAAAGAGACAAGGATCTTACAGCTGAAATACATTATTCCAAACTTTTCATTTTCAGTCAACAGAAGATGGCATATATCAGTATTACTTGGCATCTCAGAAGAGTGCCATACTTGACAGAACTCGCTGAGTTTTGCTTTTCTCAGGTGTTGTGCTTGGGAGAAGATGGCATTCCTTCCAAGAGCTGCATTCACATGGCTACTGACAGCTTCCTTTAAGCGACTGTGCAGCAAAGTGTTGAATGAAGTGTGAAAAGCCGTATTTTAAGGCCAGCATAACCAAAGCGTGACTTCTGGATTGAAACCAGAAAGCAGAGGAAGGGGGGGGGAAGTAAGGAGAATTCACGACCCCAGGGTTGGGCCTACTTTCAGACTGACTTGCTAGTTCTTGATTTCTTACAGTAGCCACAATCCATTCAAAGCCTCTTCTGTCAAGAACAGCTTTTATTTTTATTCGGATGAGCGAGTTATTATGTGCTAGATTCATTGGTAAACTGTACATGTAAGCACAGCCAATACGTCACGGCCACACTGTTTGACCAAGGGCAGAGGATGCCGATAATCCCTGGATCAGCTGTCCCCAACTGAAAACAGGAAGAAGGAGGCCTGGACGTTTCTTTAAATGAGCAAATTGGATGAGGCTCTGGCAAATGCTGACTTACACTGAGTCAGCAGAACCAACACAACTCAACAAAGAATATTCACACATGAATTATTCAGCCGGCTTGAATAGCATCTCTGCAACAGCAATTCTGCAAGCAAGTTATTGGCATACACATAGGCAGTCGTCCAACCACAGCTTGCAAAGCGGAATCAGGATAGTTCTCTTGACCAGTCAAGTGGGGGTGAGGAAGCCTTTTGCTTCTGGGAAGCCGCTGAGGCAAAATAGTAGTCAGAGCTTCCTTTACAAAGTGCTGGAAGTCAGCAAAATGACACGGAAGTGAGCTCCTTTTTATTTAGCCTCATGTGAAAGTTTCTGTGACAAATTGAGAGGTTTTTATCTATGCACCACCCCGATTTTAATTTTAAAGAGACTTTTGAGCAACTTCTGTTCAGGAGGCTAAGATCCGAACCAACAGACTGAAGTTATGCGAAAGGATATTACGACTAAACTCAGGAAGAACTTTCTGACCATAAGAGCTGGTTCAACATTGGAACAGACTCCACTGAGAAGTGGCGGACTCTCCTTCGTTGGAGGTTTTTAAGCAAAGGTTGGATGGCCATCTGTCATGTATGATCTGGTTGAGATACCTGCAGTACAGGGGGTTGGACTAGATGACATTCAGGGGTTCCCTTCCAACTCTACAATTCTATTATTCTATTGTATCTTTTTAATAGACTCAAGACAGACCACAGAGCTGGAAGAAGCCTTGAAGAAGCTGAGACGAGCCCTCACCAATTTGGTTCCAGTCAAGAGGTTTCAGGTTTCAGCTCAGTCCTGGTTCACTGAAAGACAAAACCCTTTCTGAACTGATTTTAAGGATAGGTTTAGATTCTGTGTGATTCCCTAGGTGGTTACCATTCACATTTTACTGAAGCATAGAAAGCGAGAGGGGCTACAACTTGCTGGAAACCCTCCAAAAAACAATTGCCTACTTGAGGGACTGAAAACCAGATGGGTGTTCACTTCACCACATACCATCTCTGTTTCACATATTTAGGCTGCATGCATAATATTCATCTGGATGGAGGCATATTTTCCACAATCTCTGAAGTTGCTTTTCTTGGCTGGACTACTGTCTGGCCAGAGAAGAGACCCAAAACTTTTGTTTGAAGTAGTAGCGAAGCTTTGGCAACCCTAAATGAGGAAAAGGTCGGAACGTTTCAAGAAAGTGTTGGGCTTTGCTTTCTCCAGACAGAGCCCAGTTGTTGGTGATGTCTCTCAATTTCCCCCGGCACATGGAATTCAGGCTTGGCACGAGTTTCGCAGCTGCGGTTGCTGCCGCTAGCCTTGTATGCAAGCGAGCTGTTTCCCAAGTCCTGGTCACACATTCATGGCCCTTTTCCTGCTTTGATGCTTGTTCAGATTCCATTAGGATTTAATGAGGAACCCACCAGCCTTGACAAGCAGAGTGGCTGACTCATGGCTGAAACCAAGGGCAAGCTTGAGATTGGGAATTATCCAGCAAATTAGTTTGTCACCTTTGGCTCTACGTTCGTCTGCACAAAAGCATGGGCCTGGTTCCACCTCTCCCTGGCCACACAAACCCAGAGGGAGCTTCTGTTATCATGATCACTGCAATATTGCAAGCAGGAACCTCTTGAAATTCTCCCTATTTGTGGAGAGAGGAACTGGGAGGATGATTTCTCTTGCATTGATAAGAAATTCTCCCAACAGCTCCTTATTTATTTATTACATTTCTATACTTCCTTTCTGGCAAGGGCACCCGAGGCAGTTTATCAATTTAAAATATTTTTTAAAAAATACATTATATAAATGTAAAGTTGTCCCTGTTGGTGGGGGGCAGGCTGAGGTTGTCTTTGGCTGCTTGCCTGCCTCCTTTTGCTCTCTTCTGCCTCCCCACAAGACAGATGGTGTCCATTTCTTGGGGTGAGGGCTGCAATTCAACAGTGGCAGCAGTTCAGCAGCTTTTATCTTCTCAAAAGGATTGTTTTGTTTTTGTTCTTTGCTGCTATTGCAAATAGCAAGAGCAGCAGTGTTGGCTGCCTGGCTGCCATCTTGTCTCTTTTATAATGCTCCAGATCTCACATCATTCCAAGGCCTTTGGGGTGGGGTGGAAATTGCAGCTGCCACAAAAAAATGGTGGAGAATATATTTGGAGAGTATTCTGCAAGGTGGCCATTTTTTTTTAGGAGGCAGCAAACGTTTGTCAGAACTTTTGTCAGGAGAAGTTTTGGGAGGTAAGAACATTAGAAGGAAGGTGGGAACATCAGACGAGTCCTGGTGGATCAGACCCATCCAGCATCCTGTTCTGTGGCCAAGCAGGACCTGAGCACAGCAGCACTCCCGCCGTGGCCTGTGCTGGAAATTTGCTTTCCACTCTCAGGTTGTTTCCTTTCTCTTGTTTGCAGAGCCACAAAGATATGGGCTCTTTTCTCCACAGGCAGGGACAATCTGGGTCATGCCTCCAATTTTAAATATTCACTACTTCTTAAAAAAGAATTATCTCCTTCACCCTCAATGTATGCCAAACTGCCCAGTAACTTCACACCTGGCTTGAGAGCAGTACATGTGAAAAGGATCTAGGAGTCTTGGTTGACCACAAACTTGACATGAGCCAACAGTGTGACGCGGCAGCTAAAAAAGCCAATGCAATTCTGGGCCTCATCAATAGGAGTATAGCATCTAGGCCAAGGGAAGTAATAGTGCCACTGTATTCTGATCTGGTCAGACCTCACCTGGAGTACTGTGTCCAGTTCTGGGCACCACAGTTCAAGAAGGACACTGACGAACTGGAACGTGTCCAGAGGAGGGCAACCAAAATGGTCAAAGGCCTGGAAATGATGCCTTATGAGGAACGGCTAAGGGAGCTGGGCATGTTTAGCCTGGAGAAGAGGAGGTTGAGGGGTGATATGATAGCCATGTTCAAATATATAAAAGGATGTCACATAGAGGAGGGAGAGAAGTTGTTTTCTGCTGCTCCAGAGAAGCGGACACGGAGCAATGGATCCAAACTACAGGAAAGAAGATTCCACCTAAACATTAGGAAGAACTTCCTGGCAGTAAGAGCTGTTCGACAGTGGAATTTGCTGCCAAGGAATGTGGTGGAGTCTCCTTCTTTGGAGGTCTTTAAGCAGAGGCTTGACAACCATATGTCAGGAGTGCTCTGATGGTGTTTCCTGCTTGGCAGGGGGTTGGACTCGATGGCCCTTGTGGTCTATTCCAACTCTATGATTCTATGATTCTATGAAGTTCTACACTTTGGTTTTAATACACATTTTTGTTTTGTTAAGTAAACTGGTTTACAGCTTGCAGTCATGCATGTTACCCTAAGACATGTCAAATGAACGCTTGTCATGTTCACACATCGCATTTTAAAGCATACTCTTAAAACAGCCTCGGTGTACACACACAAATTGCTGCTTTATGAGAATTGGCCCTAAATTTGTCTGCTCAGACCATGGATGCCAACATCTAAAGCTGCAAAGTTGTTGAGGAAGACATTGCTTGATACCTATTAATAGCCTAATATTTTAGTGTTACGCTTCTATTGCATCATGCAATTGCTTTGGGATGTTTCATAGTAATCAATTTGTAAATGAAATAATGGATAAATTTGCTATCCTGTCGTTCGGTCAAGGGAGACCCAAACATGGCCTACAGGTGAGGGAACAACTGCACTTTGAGATGAAACAACTGACAATACCTGTGTGGGTTAAATCAGCAGTGTTCACACAGCCTTTGTCCTCAGCAGGGCTGGCATCAGCACCCCAAGCTGCTAACAGGGTCAGCTATTGACCCCTGCCCTAGCCCCGTTTTAAAGTCTTGCTGCCATTTTAATTTCCCACAGTTCTCCTGATGTGGCATTGCTTCAGGGCACTGCAATAATTTTTAAATGGCAGCTACACAGTGCTGCTAGTGTTGGGGCACAAAGTACTGTTAGGTGAGGGCCCACCTGAAGGCACTTTGTCCTTCAGATCAGGAGCAGAGCTTGTCTGCCAGCCATCTCTTGTCCTACTCTCACCCGGGCAGGGGCTGCGTCAAATGACAGCGGAGGAAGCCTAGTTGAAGAAGGAAAACAACAACAGCCAGCATAAGCTCAGCCTGACCAATCTGCTCCCTTCCTCAACTATCCCTGGCTGGCGAGCCTTTGGATCAAAAGCTGTCCTAGACACAGATCTTCTGAATGGAGGTGGTCACCCACAGCCACCACACAAGGCTCTGGGATGAAGGGAAGGCCGGAAGAATAAAGGCGTCCGCTCCCCGATTGCACTCCTCCCTGCAAGCTGGCCTCCCTGATGCTGAGTCAGCAGCGTCTGACAAATTAGTCAACAGGATGACTGCTGGGCTCCCGGCTTCTGGTAATTAACGTTGACAAAGCTCTGTGTGTATGTTTGCTTCTGCGCCTGCTCGCTTCCCAGGCAGGAGGAGAGCCGCCAGGAGGGGAGAACGGAGGGGAGAGAAAAATGGAGCAGTGGCTGCTGATGCTTCCTTTGCAAAGGCTGGGAATTTACATTTCCAATCCCAAGACAGGCAGCCACAGCCACATGGCTTTGCTTCCAGCCCTTCCTGCATCCTTAAGGGTCCAGGTGGGATGAGGGCAGGAAGGGATGAGGATGGTGAAGGGTTAAAACAGCCCGGAGAGGCAGCTTACAGCTCAAGCAGACACAAGTGCCCTTGTAAAACACAGGCCTGGACGCAGGAAGTGCACAATTCGAAGCCTCCGCAAGGTTGCAGAACAGGATGTTAAATGTTCCGAGCTGAGATTTGTCTCTGGTTGGGCTCTGAGGTTATTTCCTCAAAGCACTCTGTTAAGATCATGACCTCTGAGATGCACAATGAGGCTGTTGGCTTTGAAGCTTCTGATTCTTTTGCTGCTGTTGTTTGAGTCGTGTGAATTTCTCTCCCCAGCGTGGAATGCTAAATTGCCTGCGGTCTGCGGATGAGAGGCCCCAGAAGCAAGAGAGGTCAAGGGCAGGAGAAGTTGTTTCTTTAGCTTCTCCATAACTTTATGTTTGCTAACTTCAGATCCTGCGGTTTGTCCCTGCTATTTTAGACTTGTGCTTGAAGCCAAACCTCAATTGTTCCAAGTGTCAAAAGCTGAAACTCTTTGGTTTGAGCACAGGGATTTTAAATGGGTGGCAATAGGCTGTTGTGTGAAAGGGCTCTTGGTTGGAAAACTCTCCCGACAAAGCCTGTCTGGAAACGTTTAATTCACGCATAACATAGCAGCACCAAATCCAGGTTTGCCAAGGAATAGTGCATCCAGCACAGGGAATTACAGTCCTGATGCATCTGAAAGAGTGGACTCTCGTCTACAAAAGCTTATGCCATAGTACATTTAAGGTGCCACAAGACTCTTAGTTGCTCTTGCTGCCACAAACTAATGTGGCTGTCTCTCTGCAAACAATGGAAAGAACTCTGACTTTCTGATGAGTGCACAGGAACTGCATGATACATTTGTGTTTGCAAATGAGTGTTCGTCATGCTCAAGCATTGCACTTTAAAGGGTATTCTTAAAACAGCTTAGGCATACACACACAAACTGTTGCTTTATGAGAATTGGCCCTAAATTTTTCTGTTCAGACCATGGATGCCAACATCTAAAGCTGCAAAGTTGTTGAGGAAGATGTTGCTTGAAGAGCATAACAAGAGTTATATCTATTATTATTATCATTATTAATAGCCTAATGTTTTAGTGTATGTTTTTATTGCATCATGAAATCACTTTGAGATGCTTCATAGTATACAATTTGTAAATGAAATGATAAATAAATTTACTGTTCCGTCGACTGGTCAGGAGCAACCCAAAAATGGCCTACAGTCGAGTTAAAACAAAGCAAGAAAAATAATAAAGCTATATACGGGAGTGACTAGAAGAGAAATGATGGCTGGGAGGAATGTAGAAAGAAGAAACATCATGGTACACTTGTATCAGCACAACTGGATGCCTTCATCTGCCCCAGCTGCAACAAAACACGTTGCTTCCATATTGGTCTTCATATCAACCGCTGTAATTCTCCAACGGCTTGACTTCACCCCCAAAGGCACACTCTTCCATCGTCTCATGAAAAAGACTGATTCCACCACCACCACCGACATAGTACAGTAGGAAATATATGTAATATGTATGTATGTGTACATATATGTAATATATGTCATAGAATCATAGAATGGTAGAGTTGAAAGGGACCCTGAGGATCGGCTAGCCCAACCCTCTGCAATGCAGGAACATGCAGCTGTCCCATATGGGAATCAAACCTGCAACCTTGGAATTCTCAGCACTACGCTGTAACCAACTGAGCCATCCAGTGTCAAAAGCAAAACAACCCAGACCAGGGTTTCAGGTAGGGCTTCATTCCCAGCTGGAGATGCAGGCTGGGGTGGGGGGTGGGAGGGAGAGGATTGACCCTTGGCATAAGGTCTAATGCAGGGGGTGAACTTTTGCACCCGTGTCCCAGTTTTCCTAGGATTAACTCTTTAAAGGAAGGGTAAGCCAAGAAATCTTCCCCAGCTTGGCTTTTAACTTGAGCTAGAGAAGAATTCAGCTGCTGCTAATGCTCGCCTCTTCTTTGAGATGAACATTTCCCAACTCCCAAAATCTTGTTTCTGGGTCTGAACCCGGTGAGCTTTGCTGATATCTCTAGTCTCAAGCTGTGCCAGTTTGCTCCCAAATTGGTAGCTATTCTGAGGATTTGCCAGTTCTGTGTGCACCAAATGCCTTCTGTTTTAACTGGTGTGCTATACGTGACATTCCATATCTCATGTGTCCTATATAATTCTTGGAGGAAATAGTAAAACTGTCGCCACCTTTGGTGCTGGGAGATGCTGTCAGGAAATGATGCCCTCCTGTGGCTGAGGCTGCGGAGTTTGTTTCTTTTTTTCTTTCTCTCTCTCCTGTGCTGTGTGCCCAAGCGTACTGATGGTGCTTGGTAAATAATGGAAGTTTATCTTTCAGTTTCCTGAAGATCTCTTTTTTCATTTTATTCCATCGATGTTGGGTTTGTCACTTATAAATAAAACATCGAGGTGTGGAATTTTGCCAGTCGACTGCAGCTGCAGCGCCCTCCCCTCTCCCTGGATGGGCACTCTCTTCTTGCCCCCGGTAGCACAAAGACATGGTGTGCCCCAGTTTTCCTGCAATGGAATCATCACTATTGCTGTTTTTGGCTGCAGCAAAGAGTTCTTGAGGGATCTCCCTTGCAAGCACTTGAATCGTGCTTAGCTTAAGCGAGCAGCCTAGAGACGGAGAGTGCAAATGTGGGCACAGCACAGCGAGCACATTTAATCCATTCATAGCTCTTCATACCGCTAATAGGAATGTGTTATGAATGCTGTTGGGGGGAGATACAGGGAAAGGAGCTTCCTGCAGTAGAAGCCTTGAAGGGAACTGACATTGGTTTCTGTAGGAAGCTTACGAGAGCTTCTAAATGTTGCTTTAGTCAGAATTCTGAGGCATAAAACCTCACGTTGCTTTTTCCTGTTTTATTTCCACCCCCCTTTGTTTTGCAGACAGCGTTTTTTGGACTTCAGATCTAACACAAATCCTGAAGCCAGCAAAGCAGGAAGCTGTTGCCAAGGAGACCCTTATATTTCCCCTGGGAAAAGGTGTTTCCCCAGCTATTCAGTGGGGCCATCAGACCCAAAGAGGATTCCAGGTAGCAATATTCCACTTTTCAGAAAATTACAGCCTTTCCATAAATGGTTATCAATTGTGTGTTGAACAAACAGGCATCACATGGTTATTCCCTAAATGTTAGAGAAGCTTCCCCCGAGGAAGTTGATTTGGCCCCTCTTGCTTTTGTGGCATGCAAAGGTTTGGAAAATGACGGCGATAGAGAAGCTCTGTCTAGATTAGCCAATTTATTTACATCTTAGTTACAGTTTTAGATCACTTTCCCAAGGGAATTTACAATAAGATACAAAAAACAAAATACATATAATAAAAAACCCATAAGAATGGCCCAGGACCATTGTTGTTGTTTAGTCGTCTTAGTTGTGTTTGACTCTCCGTGACCCCATGAACCAGAGCATGCCTTGGAAACTCTCTTCTCAAAGCTTCTTTTTGATGGAGTTTTCTAGGGAAAATACTGGAGTGGTTTGCTAGTTCCTTCTTCAAGTGGATCACATTTAGTCTAAACTCTCGGCTATGACCTGTCCATCTTGGGTGGCCCTGCATGGCATAAGCATGGGTAGGCAAACTAAGGCCCGGGGGCCGGATTCGGCCCAATCACCTTCTAAATCCAGCCTGCAGACGGTCCGGGAATCAGCGTGTTTTTACATGAGTAGAATGTGTCCTATTATTTAAAATGCATCTCTGGGTTATTTGTGGGGCCTGCCTGGTGTTTTTACACGAGTAAAATGTGTGCTTTTATTTAAAATGCATCTCTGGGTTATTTGTGGATCATAGGAATTTGTTCTTTCCCCCCTCCAAAATATAGTCTGGCCCCCCCACAAGGTCTGAGGGATAGTGGACCAGGCCCCTCTGCTGAAAAAGTTTGCTGACCCCTGGCATAAAGCTCCTAGCTTCTCGGAGTTACTGAAGCCCCTTCGCCATGACAAGGCAGTGATCCATGAAGGGGCCAGAACCATTAACGGCCCCTCAAAAAAGTCAGCAACTGTTAGGTATTAACAATCTAGCCTGTGTTTACAGAAGACTGAGTAAATGAAAACGTCTTCAGTGGCCATCTAAATTTGTAAATGGAAGAGGGCAAATGTGTCCCAAGGGGAGGTCACTGCAAAGTGGGGGTGGCAACTTGGAGAGCCCTATCAGGTGCCCCCCCCCATACTGTGAATTCCTGTTGGGAGCACCAATCTGTGGGTAGGTAGAAGAAACACAAATGAGAACAGTGACCTCTTCCTTTAGAAGGTTTGAGTAGGAAGATCCCTCTGCTAGGAGTCTAGATTTTTAAATTTCCTTTTGTGAAAGGATTTTTATAACATTTATTTTTACGTATCTGTTTTCAAAAAAATTCATACCAACACCATTAAGGAAAAATAAAAGGTAAAGCTAAAGGTACCCCTGCCCGTACGGGCCAGTCTTGCCAGACTCTAGGGTTGTGCGCCCATCTCACTCTATAGGCCGGGGGCCAGCGCTGTCCGGAGACACTTCCGGGTCACGTGGCCAGCGTGACAAGCTGCATCTGGCGAGCCAGTGCAGCACACGGAAACACCGTTTACCTTCCCGCCAGTAAGCGGTCCCTATTTATCTACTTGCACCCGGGGGTGCTTTCGAACTGCTAGGTTGGCAGGCGCTGGGACCGAGCAGCGGGAGCGCACCCCACCGCGGGGATTCGAACCGCCGACCTTTCGATCGGCAAGCCCTAGGTGCTGAGGCTTTTACCCACAGCGCCACCCGCGTCCCCATTAAGGAAAAATACCAATGATAAAATTGCATCCATTAAAGAAGTACAAAATACATCACGACTGTTTTACTTAACTTGGAGAATAATAATGTTAGGAGTTTGTGGGTGCCAGAGACCTATGATTCCTGGCTCCAGTAAGTATTAGACTTTAATCAAGGCTTGGGGTGTTAAACTGGTTGGCCGGCCTCTCTAATCACTGGATCCAGCGAGTGTTAAAAGCTAATTAAACCAGACTGGCTTCCTGTGTAGAGTGGTTGCCTGAGTGAAGGTCCATTGAGTGAACAAAGGATCAAAGAAGGCTCTGTGCCAGGCAGCAAATGGGGGGGGGCCTTCCTCCCTCAACAGAGAAAGTCAAGAGTTTAGAGAGGTTGGAGTTAGGAGTAAGGTGATATAGACGAAAATCAGCAAGCTGGAGAGGCAGAGCATGTTGTTTGATTTCTGTTTGAATCCAAGGCTGTGGCTATGGGAGAAACAAGATCCTTTGGGGCTGTTAATGCTGTGGACTCCTCCAAAGTAGGTTCAGGTTGTGTCAGGACCTGGGCAAAGGTGCCCCCGGGAGATGAGGGAAGTGGTTCTGTGGGCACCTGAACCAGCCAGGAGGCAAGGGGAAGCTTCAAAGCTGGAGAGTGGAGCGCAGGATGGCTCAGAAAGGGAGGAGGAAGAGGCCGGCCAGGCAAGTGAAGGGCCAAGTGCTTCTCCCCGCCTTGCCTGCACCACTGTCTCCCAGAACTAGGAGAGAATTGAAGCAGGAAGAGCAGAGGACGTTTCCACACAGGCGTAGTCTCCAGCTACCTGTTCGCAGCCTGTCAAGGGAAGGTACATAAAATGGTGGAGGGGGAGTGGTGCCCAGTTGCTGCAACACGCACCTGGGAGTAGCTACCAAGACTCTAGATTGGTGTGTGCAGCTATCCAGAGCTGTAGAAGTGACTGTAAGCATTACCTTTGACCATAAAGAGTGAAGTCTCTGCCGTGTGCCTTCCTTTGGCTGCAAGCACCCTGGACAAGCTGCGTATATGTGTAAATAAACCATAAATCCCAAAGATTCCACAGTCTCCACTGTGCCCCTGGAATCTCACACTGCTCAGAAGTTAGGGCAGTTTGCAACAATATGCATGCCTGTAAATAAAATTATTTTTTATGTCCTTCCAACCTTGAAGTATAAGTCCTTTTGAAACCATAAGGGCTCAAGGGATCCATCTGTTGCTCCTCAGATCATAGGATTTTAAGTCATGAACATCTACAAATATCAAAGATCCCCCCAAGCAAAATAAGAACAATTTCTGACCTAAAAGAGGACACACCCACGTTCTCTGCCTCCAAGCAGCAATATCAACATGACATCACCAGCATCTATCTGAATTAGCTAATTCTTTCCTATAAAGAGGCTACGGAGTCCAATCTACCTAAAACAACATTTTTGTAGTTGTTTTTGAATAGGGCTGCAGTCTTAATCACCACTGATTACAGTGGGAGAATAAAGTGTATACAGTGGTACCCCGCAAGACGAACGCCTCGCAAGACGGAAAACCCGCTAGACGAAAGGGTTTTCCGTTTTGGAGGCGCTTCGCAAGACGAAGTTCCCTATGGGCTTCCTTCGCAAGACGAAAGCCCATAGGGAAATCTCCGGGACAGCGGGGAAGCGCCTCCGCTGTCGCCTGCCAGCATTTTAAAAAGCCCCGGGACAGCGGGGGACTTCTCCGCTGTCGGGGCGATCTTAAAATGCTGGCGTGCGGGAGCGAAGCCTCCGCTGTCGCCCGCCAGCATTTTAAAAAGCCCCGGGACAGCGGGGGACTTCTCCACTGTCGGGGCGATCTTAAAATGCTGGCGTGCGGGAGCGAAGCCTCCGCTGTCGCCCGCCAGCATTTTAAAAAGCCCCGGGACAGCGGGGAACTTCTCCGCTGTCGGGGCGATCTTAAAATGCTGGCGGGCGGGAGCGAAGCCTCCGCTGTCGCCCGCCAGCATTTTAAAAAGCCCCGGGACAGCGGGGAACTTCTCCGCTGTCGGGGCGATCTTAAAATGCTGGCGGGCGGGAGCGAAGCCTCCGCTGTCGCCCGCCAGCATTTTAAAAAGCCCCGGGACAGCGGGGAACTTCTCCGCTGTCGGGGCGATCTTAAAATGCTGGCGGGCGGGAGCGAAGCCTCCGCTGTCGCCCGCCAGCATTTTAAAAAGCCCCGGGACAGCGGGGAACTTCTCCGCTGTCGGGGCGATCTTAAAATGCTGGCGGGCGGGAGCGAAGCCTCCGCTGTCGCCCGCCAGCATTTTAAAAAGCCCCGGGACAGCTGGGAACTTCTCCGCTGTCGGGGCGATCTTAAAATGCTGGCGGGCGGGAGCGAAGCCTCCGCTATCGCCCGCCAGCATTTTAAAAAGCCCTGGGACAGCGGGGGACTTCTCCGCTGTCCGGGGCGATCTTAAAATGCTGGCGTGCGGGAGCGAAGCCTCCGCTGTCGCCCGCCAGCATTTTAAAAAGCCCTGGGACAGCGGGGGACTTCTCCGCTGTCCGGGGCGATCTTAAAATGCTGGCGTGCGGGAGCGAAGCCTCCGCTGTCGCCCGCCAGCATTTTAAAAAGCCCCGGGACAGTGGGGGACTTCTCCGCTGTCCGGGGGCGATCTTAAAATGCTGGCGTGCGGGAGCGAAGCCTCCGCTGTCGCCCGCCAGCATTTTAAAAAGCCCCGGGACAGCGGGGGATTTCTCCGCTGTTCCGGGGCAATTTAAAAGCCCCGGACCATGCCCCGATGCCGGGCGGCGGACGGGAACGCCTCCCCCCGCCGCCCGCCATCGGGACCATGCCCTGATGCCGGTGGACGGGCGGGAACGCCTCCCCCCGCCGCCCGCCATCGGGACCATGCCCCGATGCCGGGGGCGGGGCCGCGAAGCCTGGGCGCGCTGATCTCAGCGCGCCCAGGCTTCAGCATGCCGGCAACTCTCCGCAAGCTGCGGCAGCGCTGCCGCTGCTTGCGGAGAGGTCCGCGAACCCTGGGCGGACATCTTTTGAAGGCAGGGGGGGAGCAAAGACTTTTGCCCCCCGCCAGCCTTCAGAAGAGGTCCTGGACCTCTTCTGAAGGCCAGCGGGGGGCAAAAGTCTTTGCTCCCCCCTGCCTGCCTTCCCGGGAGAGCGGAGAAACGCAGCACGTTTCTCCGCTGTCCCGGAGGGCTTTTGAATGCAGGCGGGGGGAGCAAAGACTTTCGCCCCCCCAGCCTTCAGAAGAGGTCGGGGGACAGACTGTCCCCGGACCTGGTCTGAAGGCGGTTTCCCTAGGAACGCATTAATTGATTTTCAATGCATTCCTATGGGAAACCGTGCATCGCAAGACGAAAAACTCGCAAGACGAAGAGACTTGCGGAACGAATTAATTTCGTCTTGCGAGGCACCACTGTACGTAAATGTTCCTTTCTAAAATCAATGGGACTTAAGTTGGTAATGTTTGTTAAAATAACTATAGCAAATGCTAATTGAATGGCAGCTTGACTGAAAGGAAAAGCAGACAAAGTTAAATTATGCAGCTGCTGGAAAGATACTGGAATATTATTTAAAGGGGCCTAAGAGGGAATGTTTCATTGAAATGCATTTGATAAGAAAAGGACAAGACTCAATAACTATCTTCTC